GATTAAAATCTACGAAGAAATCAATGAATACAATGATATTTATTGGTCTAAATATTTGTTAATTATTTGGTTTACATTGAGTTGTCTCATATCGATTATGACTTATCTCGTGTTTTTTAGTGACACTAATATATTTACTATAACCGCATGTTTAATGTTGTTAATTATATTTTCATTAATCCTGATGTTTATAATCCGTATTTCTTCACTCATTTATATCGAAGCGAATAATTCATACAAATTATTGAATTCAATATTTTGCAAAAATAATTTCTTAATTCATATTTCATTTAAAATAAAGGTTAGTTTAAACAATATTATTATATTATCCTAACAGATATTATTCTGCAAATATTTATTTAATAATAATATTATTATTTTATAGTTATTAACACTGATTGAAAGAATTGGTACAAAAAGAGTGGGTTTTTATTGTTGGAAATTATTTATTATAAACACTTTCAGAGGATATGAGGTCTAAGGAAATGAATATTGACAAATAAATTTATAATTATTTTATTTCAGATAATCTCGATGATTGTGATGTTGTATTTAAAACTGCTTAATTAAACATAACTAATCAAATAAAAGCAAAGCAAATCCACTATCTGTCTCACCTTTGTGTTCACAATTAATACACTTTTATAATTACATGTTTAGTATAAAACCTAATGACTTGAGTGTAATAATAAATAAAGTTTTATTAATTTTTAGATTAAAAAAGTGTATTTAAATAATTATTTCTTAATGTGTCAATAAAAATATATGTTATTAAAACAATTATCATAACAACATGTTAATTATCATATAAAATTAAATAATATACCCGACTGACATATCTTGAAAAATTCCTGTTCTTAAACTATTTATCCCATCTTGATGAAACTTGGACTCTGGTGCCTAGAGATGTGCACTTAAATTATGAAACCAATTTCAGAATTCTATCTATACTACTTCCCCTTGAAGCAACTTATATATCATTTAATCCAATATATTGTTAAAAATTATAACAAAATTTAAACACCTATTTTAGTTCTAATAGAAAAGGCACTAATCGTTAGCGATTTACAAATTTATTTATAGCCCAAGACTACCTGCGCTGTGCAAACATGTGCATTTTATAATTTATTGTATCAGTACGCGCTTAGAGATAAGGATTTATAAGGCTTTCTTCACAAAGTACGTGCGCACTTGGGGGGAGGGGGTGTCGGGCAAAACAAACTTTTGCGAACGAGGGAGAGGGGGTATAGAGACGTTATGAACGTTCGCATTTAAATCATTTGATGAATTTAAGGAATTATTTTTATCAGCGTTAATCTTTTGATAACAACTATATCTAACAACTGTTCCTATTAATAACAGCTTTTATTTAAATTAATAACAGATTTTGAAAAATATATTACTTTTGATTAGAAATAATTTTATAGGGGGGGAGGGGGTAATAGGGACACGCGAAAGTACTTTTCTTTTAAATTACTACATGCGAACAAGTGCGAACATATGGGGAAGGGGGTCTAGATTTTCGATAAAGTGTGCATGTACTTTGTGAACAACGCTTAAGACTCATCAATATTATAGTCGAGAAGTCCTAAAACAACAACAATTAAAATTAATGTAAACAATGAGATAAAGTTTTCTTCAAAGTAAAAATTTTAATAATTGATTATTATTTATTGATTTATTATTTAATTATTATTTGTTAAATAACGTATTCTATAATATTTTTATTAATATATATTGACATTTCTAGCGTTAATTAGAATCAATAAATACATTATATGCAGTACATTAATATAATTTTATAAGCATTGTAACTATAATAGTTACCTTATAGTTATTTTGTCAAAATAATTTAATATATAGTTTAACATATTATCTGGAAAAAACCAGAAATTACATGTTTGAAATGTCACATTAATTAAATGATAATTGTTAATACAGTAATTAATTGTTTATATTGAGTTTTAATGGTTGAATAATTCGTTTCGAATTACCGTTCATTTATGCGTTTGGTAAAACAATTAATTAACTAAACATAGGTAAAAATAATTTTTTATTTTTATGTTTAATGTTATTAATGTTGTTATTAAATTATATTACTATACTGTTTATGGTGTTTAACATTAAATAATAGCAATTTTCTAATAGAAGCAAAATATAATATACATGTATTTTTAAATTTAAAAGTTATATTTTGTAAATCATAACCATATTTAGTTTTCTATTATGTGTGACAAACAAACTAGATTTACAATTAAAGCTGAGCATATCCTACCACCAGAACTGGTAATCTCTGGCGCCGGCAGTGATCTCTACAGAATTGGTTTATCACAATATAATACACATAACAGCCATAGAAACACATTTCGGAGACCAATACTTATATTCATTGTATTATTAATACAAGTGATTCGTTCCGTATGTATGATAACAATGGGTGAACAAAATGACCGGTTTTATATAGTTTGGGGTGATTTTAGTCATTTTATGGGTGTCCGCATACAATCAAATACAGGCATTTTATTAGTTGTCATACAATGTTTGTGTTCACAATTAGTACACTTTTATAACTACATGTCTGGTATAAAACCCAATGATTTGCGTGTATTTCAAGTGATGTCGGGTTTGATTGCACCCAAAAGTATTGGTCTCAACGATAGGGATGTGATGTTGAAGTTAAGGGAAGTTTTTCGCAAAATATTATTTTATGCCAAATATTTAGCAAGATTTTGCTCAATACAATGCTTTATAATTATAATTTTGACATATGATGCTAATTTATCTATGTCAGACTTCATCATATATGGCATACCTAATACTATTGTTTGGATGTTAATTATTGTCTACTGTAGTTATATAATGATTTGGCAATTTGTATATTTTTATTTAATCACGTATTATTTAAAAACTAAATTAAAACTACTTAATAATTATATGAAAACATATTTACATTCATTGACACTAAAAAGGAAATTAAATAATAATACATTTAAACTAAATTTAATCTCAATTAGAGATCTGATTAAAATCTATTATAAGATCAATGAATATAATAATAATTATTGGTCTAAATATTTGTTAATCATTTGGCTAACAGTGAGTTGTATTATATCGGAATCAACATATGTTGTGTTTTTCAGTGATAGCAATATAATGGCCAGAATTGCATATTTTATTGTGTTATTGATTTTCATATCAATTCTGATGTTTATAATCCGTATTTCTTCACTCATTTATATCGAAGCGAATAATTCATACAAATTATTAAATTCAATATATTGCGCAAAATATTTACTAAATTGTATTAGTTTTAAAATTAAGGTATTTACAGATATAAATTGTATAAATATAACAAATTTTATAATAAATATAAAAATTTTTATTAAATTATTTTATAGTTATTAACACTAATTGAAAGAATTGGTACAAAAAGAGTGGGTTTTTATTGTTGGAAATTATTTATTATAAACACTTTCAGGGGATATGAGGTCTGCTATATAATTGTTATTAATTATAAACTAAACAATTTCATTTTGTTATAGATAATCTCAATGATCATGTTACTATTTTTAAAACTGTTAGATTTATCCTAAACAACTGATGTTAATTTCAACATGATATTATTACAAATATAATATACACTTATGATAATTATGACATTAGTGTGAATTAATAACATATTGTTTTGTGTATAAGAAAATAAAATTCTTATTTACTAGAATACAGTACAACTAAATTAAACTGCCATAATAATTATTTAAAAACAACACAATTTTGTTACTAACCAATTATAATTTTAGAAATCCACTAAAGTGCTCTTCATTTTCGCCCTTCAAATTGGCTCTTCATTTTGGCCCTTCACTTTTTGCTTGTCATTTTTTAATTTTATATTGGTAAATTAAGTAGTACAAATTAAATTATATTGTATACACAATTGACTGGGAGTATGACATGAGCTCGAAAGACACTAGCTCGAAAGTCAAAATCTCGAAAGACACGAGCTCGAAAGACATCAGCTCGAAAACCATGAGCTCGAAAGACACTAGCTCGAAAGTCATGAGCTCGAAAGACATCAGCTCGAAAGTTATTAAGTTGATTTTACGGCATGTTTAATATGAGATATAATTATTAATTTAATTACAAAATTTAATAGAGTTATAAATACATCAAATATGAAAAATACAGAATTAAATAATGAGCTAAAATGACAATGCTAAAATTAATTCATGAAATAATTTCACTTTATATAATTACCTTAATTATTAAACTTAACTATTAAATTTAGTAATTAAATTAATAATTATATTTTATATTAAATATGCCGTAAAATCAATTTAATAACTTTTGAGCTGATGTCTTTCGAGCTCATGACTTTCGAGCTAGTGTCTTTCGAGCTCATGGCTTTCGAGCTGATGTCTTTCGAGCTCGTGTCTTTCGAGATTTAGACTTTCGAGCTAGTGTCTTTCGAGCTCATGTCTTTCGAGCTCATGTCTACGTCCCAATAAGAACAATAGAGTAGAAATCTATAATAAAAATGTTGTATTTGTTAACAGAAAACTATTATAAAAAGTAAAGAATATATTTGTAATCCCTTTGGCCTAAACGATGTCATTTATTTTGTTTGTTAAAAGTGTTTTCATTTGAATACTCATTTAAAATGTGTAACAAAACAACGGAATAAAGCAAAGGGATAATAATTTTTTGCGATTTGGCCTAAATGTCAATACAAGACATTAAGAAAAGATCATTTAACAAAACATCAATTAATTCATTCATCAATAAAACAATTTAAATGTGATTTTAAACATTGTGATAAAAGTTATAAACAAAAAGAAAAATTAAATTGTCACAAAATTAGTTTTCATTTAAATATGAAATTTAATTGTGATTTCAATGAATGCAACAAAAGTTTTACAACAAAACATCTTTTACTTCACCACAAAAATGCTATTCATTTGAATCATATTATTTATTATTATTGCTTTTGGCCTAAATGTCAGTACAAAACCCGGCAGTTAAGTACTTTTAATAGGCATAAACTTAATCACAGAGAAATACTGATAAAACAATTTAAATGCGATTTTAAAAATTGTAATAAAAGTTATAAATTGAAACAACATTTGATTCAACACAAAAATACAATTCATTTAAATGTGAGATTTATTTGTGATTACAATGAATGCCACAAAAGTTTTATATCAAAAGGAAATTTAATTCAACACAAACGCATACATTTGGGCAAAAAACCATTTGTCTGTAAATTTAACAAATGTAACATAAGATTTAATTGTAAAAGTAATTTAAATCGACATAAAAAGATACATTCGGGAGAAAAACCATTTCTTTGTCATTTCAATGATTGCAACAAAAGGTTTAGTCAAAAATGTCATCTCAAAGAACATACGAAAAGACATTTGAATATAAAAAGCCATAAATGTATTCATAATAACTGTAATCAACGCTTTGTTGCGAAATATGAATTAATATCACATTTAAATCACAAACACATCAATAAAATTGTAAACAAACCTTAATCAATTATCGAAACATTTATTAATTTATAAGATCATTTATAATCTATAACTTACAACAAAACATACTCTCAATCAACACATTAAAAGTCACTTGAATATAAAACGCCATAAATTTACTACAACTATATAATCACAAATTACACATTGTATTAATTATTTGAATTAAATAAACTAACTTTTAAATATAAATCAAATTTATTAAACAAAAATATTATTTATCAAATAAAACATTATTTTAAAAAACTAAACATAGTTGGTTTTTTAAATTTCTGTCTCATAATAAGCATAAACTCATATTCTTGGCCATGAAAACATGTTTGACTTTACCCTTCATTTACTATTATATCTAATCAAAAGTCTTAATAATGTTTACACAAATATTGTTATCCAATATCTGTTTAGAATATTTTAAAGTAAAATAAGCATATTTTCATAGATATTTAAAATAAAATATCTTTTACTTATTAATTTATATTTAAGTTTAATTAATATAATATTGTGTGTTTAAAAGTTATGTCCCGTTGACTGACTTTCTGGTTGTTTGTCTCAAGACATGTCCTCATATTTACCGATGTCATCGGACGACAGGTCTCTCTTAAAACATTTAATGATTGGTTAAAAACAGATTTGTTGTGTTTCCAGTCATTCACTGACTTATGAGTCAATTGTCAACCGATTTGTACAACAATTGCGGTCAACGATAGCATTGAAATGCAATTACGAAAACTGTAACAAATGTTTTTACACTCAAAGCCGTTTGGATTCACATATGAGGCGAAGACATGCCGTCGAAGGCAACACACAGTCCGGGGAACCGATCGGCGGATCATCTCATGTCAGACACCAGTCATTGAGTGCAGCACTCGATAACAAACAACACAACAATACTATTGACCCTATAGTCCCGTCGACAATAACCACTATTACTTACAGTCTCGACAGTCAATCGGTGGACATTTGGCGATATAAGTATGGGTTGTGTCCGTGTTTTAAGACATTTACTGATTATTATCTCATTTATGATCGTTCAGCACATTATACGATACGAGAGATTCAACTGACACTACCACTGACCCATCACTGCCCACAATTAGCACCACTTCCAGTCCCGACAGCCAATCGATTGACAATAAACGGCATTAGTATATGTTATAGTCATAAGAGAGACATTTGTTTTTAGTTATGAATTGTTTTTCAAAACTCAAGTGATTCGGACTCCGATGTCGTACTCATTGGTAGAGTTCCGGCGCCCAAACGGCCCGCACGTAACCGATCGCCCGTTGATATCAAACCATCGCTCATAGACTCCATACCACTGGTGCCAGAAATAGTCTACAAGTATTGTCACAACTCTTAAAATAATTGTATTGTAACACGAATTACATTATTAAACAGACCGCCCGTAGAGATCATTACAATAACCAAAGGTGGGAATGAGTTAATACGTGAATTGGCTCCGGGTATACGTCGAGTCAGACACCGCACGCCATCGCCTCCACCCCCGGCCACACACTATGAGTGGTCGTCGGAGACATCGCCACCGGTTCACCGGTATAGCCGTCGTTGCGATTATTGCGTTCAATGGTTTGATACGACCGATGATTATCTCTCGCACACGCGGGCCGTTCACGGGACGGGTCGACCGCTAAAGGGTCGGATCATATCAAAGCCAAGGACCGGATCAAAGTGCTGGACCATATCAACGCCCCGTACCGTACCGTGCGATGAGTGCGGCCGATATTTCTATAATGAGTTTGGCTTAAGTCAACACAAAAAGGCTAGACATTGAAATCAATTACATTATAATAAAATATATTTTTGTGAATATATTTTTTATTACTGTATATGGAATTTGAATATTAATTATTACTAGACATTTAATCAAACTTTGTTACCCACTCCTGTCTGTTTAACGTGTGACACCCATAGGATTAACAGTAGTTCTTGTTAAATAATATACTGTTTTAATTATTAATGATATTAGTGTTTAATAGATATTTATTAAATTTGATTTATATTGTTTTATGAGTTTATTTAATTCATACAATTAATACAATGTGTAATTTGTGATTAAATATTTGTAGTTTTATGGCGTTTTATATTGAAGTGACTTTTAATGTGTTGATTGAGATTATTTTTTGTTGTAAATTATAATGATCTTAGAAATTAACAAATGTTTTGATAATTGATTAAGGTTTGTTTACACTTTTATTGATGTGTTTGTGATTTAAATGTCGTTTCAATTCTGCTTTCGTAACAAAGCGTTGATTACAGTTATTATGAATACATTTATGAAGTTTTATATTCAGATGTCTTTTCATATGTTCTTTGAGATGAGATATTTGACGGAACCTTTTGTTACAATCATTAAAATGACAAACAAATGGTTTTTCGCCCGAATGTATGCGTTTGTGTGAAATTAGATGTGGTTTTTGATTGAATTTTTTGCCACAATTTTCTTCATTACAAATAAATTTCTTTTCATTCAAATGAACATAACTTTTGTGTTTAAATAAATACTGTTTTGTTGTAAAACTTTTGTTGCATTCATTGAAATCACAAATAAATCTAATATTAGCTTCATTTAAATGGACATAATTTTTATGTTTAATTAAACTTTCTTTATATTTATAAATTTTATGGCACTTTTCGTAATTACAAACAAATTTATTCTTTAAATGAATTATATTTTTGTGTTGAATTAAACCTCTGATGTTATTATAACTTTTATTACAATTATTAAAATCACATTTAAATTGTTTTATTTCCGAATGACTTAATTGATGTGAAGTTAAACGTTGTTTAGTTGTTGTCTTGAATTGACATTTAGGCCAAAAACAGTGGAAATAATCATCAGATTTAGTAATGATATGACAATTGTTTAGCATTTTATCACTGATTTTACATGAATTGCAATCAATTGTTTGATTGATTGAAAAATAATCATTATTTTCGCATTCAATCGCTTCACACAAAACACTATTATTTGTATTCAAAATACACTGAATT